GATGTCGAGGGGCCCATGGTCCACCAGCACCTCCAGCCCCACTGGCGAGAGGAAGAAGCCAGTGCCGGCCACAGCACGGAAGATGACAAACCAGGTGGCGCGGTCCCCGGACTGGAAGCCCCGGGGGGCAGTGGTGAGCATGGCCAGGTCGGTGCCGTCAGAGTCACAGCAGGCAGCCAGGAAGCGCGGTGCCTGGCGCAGCTCCCGCTGGATGAGGAGGTCGATGTCCGCGTACTCCTTGGCGGTAACAGGTCGGCGGTGGTACGGCACCTTCCCCCCATACTTCTGCACAGTGACGTCCCGGTGGTACGCCGGTGTTGGCAGCGGCCCCACCACGTACTCCGTGATGTTGGGGTCCGGCTGGTTGCCAAAGTACAGGACAGCCAGCGCCTCCCGCGCAGGGCGAGCCCCCCCGCCATCCAGGAACTGCAGCACCTCCGCCTTGGCGGGGACCTGCACGTCCACTGAGAAGATGCAGTTGTCGGAGGGAAAAGCACGCGAGGCATCAACCAGCGGCACCCCGAGGTTTTCCTGCAGGTACCGCACCACTTGGACCATTTCTTCTGGGGTCAGATCAGCAAAAACCAGGCTCTGCCCATCATCGGTGTCCTCCTGCTCCGGGTGCTGGGGCTGGCAGGTGCTGGGAGCCCTTCCCCTGGTCAGCAGCACGCAGACCAATGCGAATATCGTGGCCAAAGCCAGAACGAGGAGGATGAGCGCAGTTTTCACGCTCATGTCTGCCACGGCACTGAGCGCTCCCGCAGCCCGGTCAGGCGGGCTTCCCAGCTGCAAAACCCTTGTGGAGTGACCTGCCAGCAGAAGGGGCTGATTTTGTTTTTTTCCTCTGTATTTTGGACAGGAAACAGTCCGGATGAGCTTGCAGGGAGGGTGCAGGGCCAGAGGGGGATGTCCTCAGACATGCCTAGGATTTGCTGGAAACCATAAAAGGCAACTTTGCTCCACTTCCCCAAATGGGTCACGTTCTTAAATAAACTCAATGCTGCTGCACCTATCCCTTCTGTTTTCCCATATGCTGCGCTGCAGACCTCGGAGCGGACAAATCCAGTCACTTGGGGGAAATAACTGCACCTCCCTGTTCCTCCTTTTCCCCTTAATCCAGCAGACGCGGACAGCTGGGCGGGCAGCAGAGCACAGCGCTGCCACCCCGTCCCGCCTACGGCAGGGCAACGCTGCTGCCTGCCTGTAGGCATCATGCCGCTGCTGGTGACGATCCCACGCGTGGGAAGCCACCAGTGCTGCAGTCGGCGGGGGCGGCTGCCCCCACTGCCCCAGCAATGCCTCCCCGCCACCCGCCGC